TCTTGTTCCCAACCATAAGTTTTCTTGCGACTTATGGTTCCACTTTTCTTTCAAAAACGGATCACCTTGAGAAAATAGGAGTTCAAAGAAGTAGCTCTTCTTTACCTGCGCGCAGAAAGAGAGATGTTCTATCGTTTGAAAAAAGTCCAACTGCTACATAAAGTTTATGGATAAATCATCAACAAGTTAAGGTACTCACTTTCTAAATTCCACCATTTTGAGTTAGCCAGTAAATCGCTTACAGTCAATTTTTTGTACTGTCCTAGATATATCTTCATTTAGATAAGGAGAAGTTCCTGCTATCGTCGTAACACTGATTTGAGGCAGACTACGTCCAAATTTTCTGCGATCTCTGTCTTGCCATCTGAGCTCAAGCAGATAGTGTAAATTGATAGAAAAATGAAGGCAAGATAGTGAAGTTGGTTGGAAGGTTCCTGCGCGCATCCTGGCCCGAGAATTACAGCGCATGTAGTAAATTTATATTTTGCTCTAATTTATCAAAAGCATACTAGCTTCAAACTTTCTTCTGTTTCTCATAATAAGTTGTGTTACACGTTTATACAAAAACAACCAGCCCATAGCGCAACACAAACGAGAAATTCTTGTTTTTCAAAAACTGAATACCTGAGAAATCTACTCAGATGAAAGTTTTTTTAGTGGTATGGAGAAAATGTGTGTGATTGGAAAGGTATGATGAACAAAGAGCTTCTTGTATTCGTTCAACTTTACATCTTGTTAATCCGACCACCCTGATATAGCTGCTGTATACTATTTACTCTTTGAAGTCCGCATATCTGGACGCATTATAAGTCCTGAAGAGGACCCGATATGTAGATTTCTATAATTTTCCTAGGTCGCGCTATGTAGAAATTTTTTTCCTGTATTTTCCTAATTGATTTATTAAGCTCTACTACTGTACTGTACTGCCATTTTTTCCCATGTACTGTTAATGTCATATTCTACATGTATCAAATCCACATTATCGCTATCCCGCTGTTCTGCTCCCGTTAGACAATTATAAATTAATTGAGCTCCTTTTACATTTCCAGGTTAGAAATGATGACGCCTCCTTGGTCCCTTGTTTGTCTCGCCGTGACACTTACTGCCGTCTCTTCACAATACCGTAAGTTGATAGCGTATGACCAAACTCACCTTTCTTCAACATCAACTACGTTTCAGTACTCGATGGGAAAGAAAATGAAAAACGAAACGAGTTTTCACGAGACATAATGCACTTCGGTAAGCGAGCAGCTCCGGGAGCTCGCTTGTCCAACTTCGATAGCTCTTATCCTGGTGTGAGTCATTTCCTGTCCTTAAATGGGATGTCAATTACTCAACGATGCTATTGATTCTCTAATAGCCTGAACTGAGACTACATCTACTAAGTCGCTCACCTAAAGTGTAGTGGAATAAGATTGACTGCAATTTAATCTTAAGTCCAGTGGGAGTCACCATCTCTAAAAAAAGGTTATAATTCGTTCAGAATTTATACACATCATTTTATTCTTACGTCTTTTCTTAGAGTTGGATGATCCTCTACTAGAAATTTTCAAAGTGCGCTCTAACCTAGACAGGTTCATTTATTCAGAATTTGCTTGAACAACTAGTGCTATTAGCACAAGGAAAAGTACTATTAGGAATGAATTCGATCAATATCACTGCAGCCTAAGCCGAGCAATATATTTCCAAGTTTTGTAAAAACAATCTTCTCTAAGTTGGATAAGTACTTTTCCATAACATCTTGAATTACCCTAGTTTCTTGTAGATAGGTGATTCGGGGTGTTTTGTCTACAGGAAATTCGGGTGTTTTGCTCGTACAGCCCGAAGGAATGTTGGGAATTAGAACAAGTTGAAAGTAAATAACTCATCAAATTCTGTATGATTTCAGTTCGAGCGAGACATGATGTCATTTGGTAAACGAGCAGGATTCGAAAGGGATATTATGAGCTTTGGCAAGAGATCACCGGTAAGTGGCTGTAAAGCAATTTCATATCTCGTATTTTCTGTTTATCTCCATTAACTCATAAGCAAGACTGCTTCCCCAATTTTTTAAACCCTTATTCGCCCTAAAAATGAATAGAAAATCCCGAATAATATATTAGAAACAGCTTTTCCTATGAGGGTAGGGATTAATTGACAGCTCTTCGAAAAATGGTGCATTGAACAGCAGTTTGTTCACCACAGAAAATCGCATTATTTCTCTCCAAATATATAATCGAGATTTGAAAAAAAAGTGATTCAGTAATCATTCTTACAAAGCAAAAATAGGTGAAGTTGAGAGAGCTGAAAGTCAAAGCCTTTTATGTTCGCTCAGTTCAGACAGACTACCACAAATGGAGTAGCTCCGCTTTAATGGATCCTCGATGGTCAATTCCTCTTTATAACGTAAGGATTCGAAAAGCATCTAAGCATGTGTATCCCTCTATATGCTTATAGCCTTACTATCCTACCGCGAGCATCCTCAGAGGTTT